AGAACTTTTATTCAAGTTTACGGAGTTTAATTCTTTCAATGTGGACATTTGTATTTCGCAATATTCACGTGGTTTCTTCAAGAAATTTCTCGAGGTTCAGGAAACGTTTCACGGCGTAGTCGTAGTTGTACGGTAGGTTCTGTGGTGACTTTCTCCAAGGCAGGCTGATCTGATAGGTTCCGTCGTCTAGTCTCGTCATACTATCTTGCATCGATTCAGTCGCAGTCTTGTCCTGGTCGTCGATGGGCACTACAAGTCTCGGGTTCAAGTCCCATCGCTTCTTAACCAAGCGGAAATCTTCCATCTCGCTGGTGGCCGATACTTGGAATACGTTCCCAGCTGCGTTGGCGAAGACGTCGTCTGTACAAAGACCACCTTGGATGTACCATCCTAAAGAATATCTCACGGCTACAGGCATTTTTTTCCTTTCAGTGCAGGGACCCAGGATGCGTTCATCGGATGTCAACACATCTCCGTTCTCTACACAAGGAGGACATCAATCGTCACGTCAGAGGCTTCAACGATATCGACGTCAGCAAGATGAGGGTACTGTCGGAGTTGGTCATACTTAACGATTGGAGCATCACCACACGGCTTCTTCATCTCAGTGAGGCGGACGTCTCGACGAAATGTACCATCTAGACTCTCGATAGTACATTCTACTACACGGAGCTTGCGGGACAGAGTTTCACCACCGACTGTAGTGAGGCTGAACTCTTGCATCTGACCACTTATGAGAACTTTTTTTTTTCGGGATGCTGCCTTGCACGTAGTAACGCAGATTGACTACCAGTGCTCGCAGCAGGATACGAACCATCCGTCTTCTTGCAGTGCGCTGTGACGAACGTATGCCATGGACGGTAGCGCTAAGGCACACTTGATCTGGTTCAGTCTCTCGGGACGTTACATGCGATGTCATACTTTTGCTGCGTTGAGCTAGAGTTCTTATCTGACGCGGTTTGAAACTCTCGAGCCGTTTGGCGTTTCAGCTTCTTGTAGAGCTATAGCAGTAGTCGTCAGTTGCTTCTTGTCAAAGTGCCTGCTAACATCTAGCGCCGTAAACGCCCGAGGACAGGATGCGAGGCAAAGTCAGTGTTTCATACACACGTCGCCGTATTTCGCAGTGCGCGATAAACTCCACAGTCGGCGTTGTTGAACGGTCTCGCTTTCCGCAGACAGAAGCTTCTTGTCTGCCCACAACGATCACGGATACCGTTTTGCGTTCATGAGTTAAAGCTTCTCACCTTGGCAGTGAGCGCGAACTGGTGACACCCCTCTGATAAAGTGGTTAGTGTTCGTTCGGGTGCAGCGGGCAACTTCGGAGACAGTTGTCATCGGCTGATCAGACTTGCATTACTGGTCACCATCTTTCTTCTCAGCAGGGCAGCGCGACATCGTTTGACTGCACTAATAGATCGACTGTTCTTTTGCGCTTTGGACTGTGACGAAGACTGATGCTCGGCGGCTTAGGAACCTTAGCTTTCTGTAGAAGCAACACGATTTTGCTAACAACCAAGTAACTATCCTGGTATGCCTATCTTTGGCTTTCTCATCTCGAATGGCCTGCAGGAACATGATGCGCCTTGCTTCTTCTGTCAGCTTACGACGGTTACCGTGAGACAAGAGCATTCTGCCGGTTTAAATTCGCCCTTCATTCCATCGACTCATATCTGGTGTAGTAAATGATTCTGCATGTGCCATTCAACGAAATTCTTCTATGCTTGTCCAAGTCACGGTTTTTCCCTTTAAGTTCCTCATACGAGTTCACTGCTTCTAGCCGTCAGTAAACAAGTTTCTACAAGTCTATCATTCACCATACACTATGTCCAAAACTTCCCATGCCTTATGACGTCAATAACAAACTTTGACATAACTGTTCTTGTCACCTTCCTCTCCATAGACTCTTACCAGCCTAGCTAAAACGTTCCGATATCGTCGCAGTGAGCGAGAAGGCGGCCGTAAAGAGTTCTTTGCAATCGTACTTGTAGTCGCGAGATCACCTGATAACGTCGGAACAACTTTAGCTTCGCCATAGGAGTGCTGCCGTCGTTCTTACGGTGTGGAGTCGACTTTGGCTTGGGCGGGTGAGCGCATCATTGAGCTTTTACGTAACAAGTTATGCATAGTGCGGTAATGCTACCGTTACAATACCTCGTTCACGTTACAGCTTCTCCTCGTCCAGCGCATTTTCTGTTCAGCAGCATCGAGGGCTCCCTTTCTGTTGTGATCTGCTGGGCTCAGTCGCCACTCCTCTAGTCTGCATGAGTAGTCGTTGAAAGCTTGTAAGTGGTCTAGCTCGTTGCTCTGATGCGGTCTGCTTGTACCTTGAAAACTCTGTGCGCTGCCTATCCCCCTGCCCCCTGCCACCGTCTAGTGAAGAGCATTGCCCTCACTTGAGTAAGCAAGTTTGATTCTTCGTTTGCCACTAGGCCACGAAGCTGCTTGGCCTCCTTAGCTCGTTCCTGGGAGTGGGTGGTATAGTTGTCATATTGTTAGCTACCTGATAGCTGCAGTAAACGAAATGCACCGATTAGATGTGAAGCCTCTATCGTAGCGCTAGAAACTTCGATCGTGGGAATGCGTCACTGCGAGTCGTCGAATTTTCGTGCGGAAGTAACGACGTGAAACGCATCACAGAATGTTACCAATCTTTACGTCTTGCAAATTAGCTTCTAGGCGTTTAGGGTTCCGTATCAGCTGCCGTTACACTGGTTTACGTGCGGCCTTGCTCCCGTTTAGCGCTGAAACACACGGTCCAGTTTTATCGCTTTTGACTCTCGATTTGGGCGCCGCCATGTGAGGACTGTTATACTTGTTAAGTGTATACTTCGTGGTGCAGTAATGTTTTTAATATGCGTGTATGTTTCCTTAGTGAATGTAAAATAAAGAAGCCATATGAATAGCATTCGGGTGTCACAACACACCAACACAGCAGCCGTATGTGTATAATTTCGTATGATTTTCATATAATACATTCTTTATGTGAATTTATTTTCACATGTGTGAAAATAAAAAAGTATAATCATTTAATTAAAGATACATTACCTCGCACATTTTTGACAAACCACTGTAAAAACATAGGCAAATAACTCACTACACTTTAACTGAACAAAAATATGTATCAAGCCTATATTCCCACAACGAAAAAAAAATCGAAAAACGTGTTTCGTCATGGTTCTGTATCATGGCGGCAAGAGTCGACGCAGTTCACGTAACCAGCACAGCTATAGATTTCATATAACCAGTGTGGTCCACGAAGGGTTTTAACATTTAAGGCCGACAGGTTTGAGTTTTGGGCCGACAGGTTTGAAAATCGCCGACAGGTTTGAATTTCAGGGCGACAGGTTTGAAATATCAAAGCAAGAAACAACACAAACAAAGCAAAATGCAACTGTACTGCACTGTCGAACGGGACGACGTACGCGTAGTCACATATGGGGCGCCAAGTGTCGCATGACTGATTTCGTTACGAAATCAAGTCTACAAAGTGATTTCGTTACGAAATCAACTACTGCGAGTGATTTCGTTACGAAATCAACTACTGCGAGTGATTTCGTTACAAAATCAGCTACTGCGAGTGATTTCGTTACAAAATCAGCTACTGTGAGTGATTTCGTTAAAAAAATCATGGTACACTTTTCGCATGACTTGATTTCGTTACAAAATCATTGATTTCGTAACGAAATCAAGTTTACAAAGTGATTTCGTTACGAAATCAACTACTGCGAGTTATTTTGTTACGAAATCAGCTACTGCGAGTGATTTCGTTATGAAATCATGCTACACTTGGCGCGTCGGCGCGCCAAGGATCGCATGACTGATTTCGTTACAAAATCAATGATTTTGTAACGAAATCTATGGGGCGCCAAGTGTAGCATGGGGGTACGTGCGTGTACCCGCGTGTACGTGCGTGTATCCGCGTGTACGTGCATGTACGTGCGTGTACGTGCGTGTATCTGCGTGTACGTGTGTGCATGTGCGTGTACCTGCGTGTACGTGCGTGTACCCGCGTGCACGTGTGTGTACCCGCATGTACTCGCGTGTACTTGCGTGCATCTCCGTGTACGCGCGTGTACGTGCGTGTATCCGCGTGTAAGTGCGTGTATCCGCGTGTAAGTGCGTGTACCCGCGTGTATCTCCATGTACGTGCGTGTACCCGCGTGTACGTGCGTGTACCCGCTTGTACGTGCGTGCACGTGCGTGTATCTCCGTGTACCCGCGTGTACGTGGGTGTACCCGCGTGCACGTGCGTGTATCTCCGTGTACCCGCGTGTACGTGCGTGTACCCGCGTG